CTTTATATTGTGTTCTATTCGGAGCTGAGATGAAGATGCTGATTAACTAACTATGTAACTGACTAAGTACGTGTTATGTTCAAACCTAAGATGTTAATGCTTTTTAGTGTATTGTTAATAGTTTGATGACAGATATCCATCTACAGGTTTTTAATGTCAGTCTTATAAAGTAATAAAGTATAATAATGCTTACTTGATCCATTACATTTTTTTAATTTCTTCCAATAACTTTTACAGAAGGAGATAGTTTTTTTAATAGCTTTTTCAAATCTAAATCTAAATCAAATCAAATCAAATCTAATCTAAATTCTTGATATCTTGATATATGAAATGCATTTTCTCATAATATACGATTATCTGCTTTCCGTAGATTGGAAAGAGTCATATTTAAGCGAAGACAGCCTCGTTTACGACCATTTTTATACTAAATAAATTTTAATTATAACATACTATATTAAAAATTAAAATATTCTTCGGACCTGAAATCGTCAACCTGAAATTGATTTCAAATTCAAAATATTATATCGAAAATAAATATAATTTCTTAAAAAATGGATTTTGATGTTATATAGTTTAAAGATGTCTTGTTTTGTATTTTTTTATTCCAAAATTTTTGATTTTATTTTAAACAATTTTAAATTAGTTTATATTATTAAAGTAGAAATAGTTGCAAAAAGTTTAGAGAATGCAAATACGATTACTACGATTATATTTTATGCTAATAATCATCTATCTTAAATAAACAAGCAATTTATGAGAAACTAATTTCATTTCTGTGATTTTCCCTAACCAATTTAAATTTCAATACTTAAAATTATTCATTTAATATATCAATTAATATGTTATACTTAAAACACACTAACTACAAATGCATAACATATGACTTCGACTTAAGTAATAGAGTATATCAAGTTTTTAAATTCATTTAAGACCTTTGGTAATTTTAAAAAACAATCGAAACCAAAAATTGCTCTATACTAAATGTTTTCGCAATTAGTTTTGGATAAATTTTGCTACCGTCCCTCGTAACTTTACCTACGTTTACTCGTACTTGTATAAGTTGCCTTCTTTTCTACTTTAATTGTGGTGAAGAAGCAATTAAGTTTAATAAAGTCCTTGTAATATTTTCAAGATCAACCAAGTCAATTAAACACAGAAAGTTCATGGAAAAGCTGCCAGTTTAAAAGGATAAAGGGATTACAATACAGTCAAAAAGTGAAGTAATGAAAATCGGAACTTAATTAATTGTATTATTTATTACAAAAAGTGTTAATATAGTTGACAAAATATTTATTAAAAACGTAAAGATACAATATATTGAAATTATTTCACATATTTAAGTTAAATATTATACATAATTATTTGTTTTCAATTATAATTAAATTTTTTAATAATAAGTATAATAAGTATAATTTTAAACTTAAATATTTTATAATTGGTTTCAGTTATTATTCCGTTTATTTTCGCAAATTATAAATCAATAGTAAATTGCTGTAAAAATCGTTAGTTTAAAAATGCAGTATATTCTTTTATATACAATTTATATGGCATTCAAAAGAAACGATTCTTTATATGTAAAATATTTATATTCTATATTGTATACTAAATTAATTAAAACATACTTTCGATTTTATTTTATATATTTTTAAATTATTAAATCTAAATAGCGTAAATCTGCGAAATATCTGAGTATGAGCCTAGATGCCAAACTGAGATCGAAGGTATACGTCAAGAAAAAATTAACTATGCTAAATATTAGATATAAAAGGTTACCTTGGCTTATTGGAAGGAGATCTAATGTACCTCAGCAAAACAAACTTATGATATACAAACAAATCTTCAAGCCGGTATAGCGCTATGGTTTCCAAATTTAGGGTTGTGCAAAATAATATATAATAGATATGATACAAAGGTTCCAAAACAAAGCACTCAGGGATGCAGTTAACGCTCCGTGGTACGTGCGAAATGCGGATCTACATCGTGACCTTGAAATATCTACTATTAAGCAAGAAATAAAGAAAGCGGCTAAAACACATTATGACAGACTGAGTGAACACTTAAACAGCACTATTCCAGCGTTACTATATGATCTATATGCTCTCCTTAGATAAGTAACATTACTTATAATATTAATTAAAAGACCTCTTGTTGGACAACATGACTACTTGTTGTTAATTTAAACTCTACATTTTGTATAAATATAATAATAAAAAAAATATATATATACATATTTTTATTCTATTATGTTGAAGCTGTTTTGAGCTAGTGCACTTAAGCACTTATACTCTTTTTTAACTCGAGGTTTCTTCAAAACCCATCTCTATATATTTTTAAATTACATAATTGTAATATAATACTTTTTTATTAACATTTTGTTAGTGTATAATTTATATATATATATTCATTTATATATTCATGGATTACAAATTAATAAATATGCACATATATATGTAATATTATGGGAGAATGCATCAATTAAAATTAATAAATTTATTTAAAAAAAAAAAAAATAAATGTATATATTTTAATCAATTCTGTTAATTAATAAAGCATATATTTTAAGAATTGTGATAAATTATATCAAATAAAAAAATTTGCATTTTTTGTTACTCATACGCACCATGGCATTAATTAATTTCAGAATCATTTTTCCTTTTCAATCAGTGGACGTCATTATAATTTATGTTCCGTTCGTTGTTTAATTCAATTATAAAGCAATCTAATAATTTATTTTAGCTATCAATTTGTATCTTATCATTCCATTTGAATATTGTTAATTTGCTTTGAGGCATTTCATTTTGACATGGCTTAGAAACTGCCACCACAGTTTTGTTAAAGTTGCTTAAGGACATACAAATCATTCTCACCCACATTAAGGAAAAGCGCATAATTTATCAAAATTTCAAAGAAAAAACGTAGTTAAAGTCAATAAATACGGCAATTTCGCTTTATATTCCTTAAATTTTTCGTACTCTAAGGTGTGATGATTATTCAGCAAAAAAATTATATTCAATAAATTTTGAATAAGGCAAATCAACTGAGAATAGATCTACTTGAAATACGAGTACAAAATAAAAATCAATGTAATGTAATTTGCATAATCATGATGTTGATGAGCGTGATACGGAATTTATTTTGTGATTTCTAAATTGTTGCAAGTGAAAGTATAAAATTTCTAAACATTATGTGTACGAGAGTTTGCGCACATTATGTGTAAAAGAATTTAAAAGGATACTGACTTTGGTGTTACTTAAACTTTGAACATTTTGTAGAGGAAAAACAATCATGTTATTTAATATTAATGATGTTAAAGGAAGTTAGTTTTTATTTTTTTAATAAAAGTTTTTGATATAAATTACCACTTAAAGACTTGATAGTGTGAATATAAATCTATTAAATAAATATGTATTCTTTATGTATGTTAAGAAATATGTATTCTCTCATTAATATATAACTTGATAGTGTATAAAATTTATTTGTAAATTTTTTATAAATAATTGTTCTAATTTTTTTAACTTATACTTTCATGTACTGATTAAACTTTTACAATTTTTACAATTTCGAAATTTCGTTTTTATGCATGTAGCTAAAACGGAATACTTACATACACAATAAAACGAAATGAGTCCCTAAGGAACGATTTCTTCAATTTTACATAACAAACCAAAGCTAAACATTTATCTATTAAAAGCCTAGCTCCATAGCTAATATAATGTAATCGCAATGGTTCTGCATTTTATTTGATTGAAATAAATATTTTTTATAAAACAAAAATACTACTATTTAATTCCATCTTTCTTTACTGATAGGTAATTGAGTAAAATGGAAGGGCGATGAATAACCTTTAATTAGCTAGAAAGCCTTTTTAGTTTCACAATCCTTCCTATATTGGTAAAAAAATTGACTGTTTTTCAACCACAACCGGACGAATTGTTAAAAGTATGTTCATTATAGATAAATTCTCTATTCCCTAATGAGCATTCGCGTGTATTCTTTATTTGGATCAATTTATATAATTAGTTTTTATATGACAAATTATGTATTTATGAAAGCATATACATAATACTTTATAATATGTATATAGAATAACAATATATGTATGTATATATATAATGTATGCACAATAAAAATAATATTCATGCAAATATTTTTAATATATTATAAGGTCATCATTTATTAATATAAAATAAAATAAATAATTCCTTCTGTGTAACGCTATAATTGTAAATAATAAATTAATATTAATCATTTTTCTATTAATATGCTGAATCATCTATATATATAATTATATTATACACAGCTATCTGTCTGAATACTACATATCTTCAAATTCAATAAATAAATAAATGCAAATGCATAAAATTATGTATAAATAAATATAATTTAAAAAAAGTTTAAAAAAAATATTTAGTTGTGTTTTTAGTCACTGGTATTTGTGATTGTCTAACTTTTTTCCCCTGGTGTAAATTTTGTATGCGAAATGTATTTATATTCTGAGCTCACAAATCAAACAGTAAATACCGAAATGAACGTCAAATACTAAAGTGGAATGAGTGTTTGCATGTGCATTGATTATACAATTTTTTTAATATTTTATTGAAATATTTTCTATTGAAATCAGAAAAAAATGCATTAAAACAGTTAATTACTTTAAATATATTGGTCGTATCAAGAGCGCTTTGTGAATCAAAGAATTCAGAATTGTAATTTCAATGGAATAATATTAAGACTTCCTAAACTAATTAAATTTGAATTTTTTTTAAGATATTTTTTGTAAATATATATTGTTAATAATTTAATTTTAAATGTTTTGTAAAGCTGTTCTGTTGAAACTATAAAAATATAGATATAGCCATTTAATATAGCCATTAAATAAGTTTTTAGTGAATCATTGCTTAAAACTTAGTTGAACTAAGTTAATTAAAATATCATTCAAATCAAAATATCTTATTTAAATTCTTATCGGATCTAATTTTTTAGAGTATTAATTAAAAACTTACCATTGAAATTTTTTTGCCCTTCTCTATTCCACTTTCCAAATTCTGCACTTCTTGCATTTCAATATTTTCTTCTTCATCTTCGTCGTCATCCGAACTATTACTACTGCCAACATCCTCGTTAATCTGGTGGTGATGCAGTGCGTATTTTCCATCGGATATACTTATTTCATCATCATCACTATCGTACGTCGGTACATGAAGAACTGCAGCAGAGGTGACGCCAGACCTATGACCAGAACTAGTGGAAGCAGCGATATTTGTCGTTGTATCACCAGTATGATTTGCAATCAATTGCTTTCTCACCATACCATGTACAGCAGAACTTTTACAACTGTATAAGTTTATATCCTTGGTCATCGTGGTACTGGGTGTAAGTGGTGAGAAAAGACTTGTACCATCTTCAATACCCTCAACAGTAGTGTGACAATGTTCCTCATTACCATTTCTATGATGATGTCGTCTATGTTGATGGTGTTTAGTTTTTGTTTTCGTATGAAGCATTGGTGTGTCTTTTGCATTACTATGTGTATGTATTGTGGCTGCTGTGGCGCCACTGTTACCGAGGTTGATGCCAGTACCATATTGTGTTGTTGTATAAGGATACGTGCTGCCAAAAGAAGTTGTTGCTGTATTCGATAAACCACTAAGGCGTGTGGTACGATACATAGGACGGGACAGACTATGAAAGGTAAACAAAGTAAAAAATAAAATCAAAGTGTTTTAAAATACTGATATTCGTATATACATAGATACATGTGTGTTTGAGTGTATGTATACATGAAATGTTATTTAAACCGAAAAATGCATTTAATCATGTAGAAAACTGTTTAAATTTACTTCATACTTGAGTTAAATATAAATTTATTCCATTTAAGTAAATTATTTTGTATTAAAATTTTTTGAAGACATATGTATTGATACGAATAAGTGAGAACTTAATTAGTATGTGTCAAATAAAACAATAACAAATAAATAAATATTTAATTAGTAAATTTACTATTAATTAATAATTAAATAGAGGAGCACAATTATTATTTATTTTTAATATATTGTTGCTGCACACACTAATTGAATTTTTGAGAAATCAGGAAACTTTTACTTGCACCAATTCATCAACTTATCAATTGAAATCTGAAACTCAAATATCTTAAGAAAATATCATTAATTCAAGCAAATATTTACTGACTTCAAATTAAATACTTTGATACTGAAATCTGATTTTAATTACATTTTCTAATACTATAAGGAATTTTATTTTATTTAAAATAAATATTAAGCACATGCAATTTTAACTTCTGGAATTATTATTTAGACATGAGTAATATTAATTGTGCTCATACATACTTGATGCCATATTTTGGTGACTCAGTTTCATTGCGCCTTCTTGAAGACATCATGGAGTTGGCCCGTTCTCCACGGCTTGCTGCCATCATATAAGTCCACATGGCGATTCATATCATTAGTAAACCGTATTTAGCCGAAAAGTATGCAATAAATTTAATGATTTTTCATTTCTGAAGGAAAATATTCAAAAATCGTTTCCGTCCATTATCGTTACACACAAATTTTTCTTTACCCTAAATATATGTATATATATATATATATATATATTTATAACCACGCGTATATTTTAAATTAATTGAATGATTTACAGTAGATTTACTGTTGCCAGTTGAGTTGATTAATACAAATTGACGTGTGTTTCCCTTTTCAACGTTGTCTGTTTGAATGCAAATTTTTATTTTCTGTAATTTCGCTTACGAAGGTTAAAAGCTTATTGAACTGATAAAATCGAAATTCTTATTTGCATATGATATGCATTAAAAACGTTGTATTGAAGTATTTACAGGCCGCACTTGCCTATTTAGTCATATTGAAGTCGTCAGTGTATGTTTGCGAACTGATAAGCTTTATAATTGCTGATATATCGTAATATACGCTGTGAAGGAAACAAAACAATTGAGATAACGAAATTAATTATTTTATTATTAAATAAATTTAATTTGTAAATAAGTTAACTAAAGAACAACATCGAAAATGCTTATACATAACATTGAATTGAAATTGAAATTCACAATTTATTATTGACTTTTTCTGTCATATAAATTAATCGCATGTATTTCAATTTATTTCACACTTAAATCAGACTATAACGTATTCTTCTATATTTAAAATATTTTTTTAGGCAAGGACAACAAACCTTGAACACTTTTAACAAAAACAGTATCTCTTAAAATATCACTAACGGAAATCAATAACAAATCATCATATACTCTTTTCGATAACATATTCTTTTCAATTCATGTTATCTTTAGTTTTGAAAAAAACAAAAAAACTTTTTTATTAAAAGGCATTTAAATAAAACTTCAAGATTTTAATTATTATTATTTTTGTTTACAAAAACTAATTATATATATAGATATATCGCAGGAGTAATAAACCTTTCAATCAGAAATATTATGAAATAAATAGACTATACTTCTACATATTTCTTGTCTAACCTAACAAATATGATCAGATGTAAGATATTACGATATAGGCTAACAACATTGATACTAACAAAAAAAAATAACATTTTAAGAAAATATATTTTTTAAACAATAGAAATAGTTAATATTATCTATTGTGGAAACCAAAAAACATTTTAGATCTTCGGATATTTCTTTTAGAATGCAAAGAGTAGCTTTTGTATGGTTCTACTTCACGAAACGATTCAAATTAATCAACAAATCAATTTTTTCGAAATGGTAAAAGATGCACAGTGTAAAATATATTGGCAGAAGACCATGGTTGACTCTACTGATGCATGTAATTACCAATAGATGTCTTCATTATGTGACTATTTTTAACAACGCCTTGTGTACTTTTGAAAACATCGCCCATATCCTTATTGGGGCTTCAAAAATCAATATCAAAAATAAAAATCTTTTCATTCTTCCTCAATTTAACACAAATTCTAAAAATACAAAAATATATGAGATGATTTACAAAAATTAATTAATTTAAAAATTTATTACTAAACGATTTCGCTCATATTGTATTTTCACACTTTATACAGTTCATTATACAAAATTTATAACAATTTTTAATTATCGATATTTAGGTCACGCTCTTGCTTATGTTTACATAATCTAATCATTTTACCCTAGATATCCTTTTTCTGTAACTTTTGGTAAACAAATAATAGGATATTGCGGTTAACCTAATCCGATAAAATTACATTAAAAAAAAATTTGACACTTTTACAATAGCAAAAAAAAAAATATACGCATTTTATATCCTTGACCTACATTTTTATTATTTAAATTTAAAAATATAAAAAGCTCCTTTAAACAATCGTAACAATTTTGTTTAATATAAAAGAAAATTGCTTTAACCTTTGAGATAAAATAAAGATGAAGTTTTAAATTTTTATGATAGAATTATTTGAAATATTGTTAAACCATTTTTAAGTAAGTGCTGAAGAAATATTCACAATCATTTCTATTAATATTTAAATAATAAGTTTATATAAAAGTTATTTACAACTAGCGGACCCGACAGACTTGGTTCTGTCAAAAAGATTTGGAATGTGGCAGTTTTTTGTTCCTACCTATTTTATAGTCGCGGCAAAAAAATCTCCTGAACAGAACAGTGACCCTGGTGTGTGGGGTTCAGTTCGGGTGACCAAAGTATCTTCTTTTCCAAGAACTTTGGCCACCCTTCTGGGATCCACTAAAAAGCCCCGACTGGGATGTCTGCCAGAGGGTTTCAAACTAAGAGGCGAACTTAAGATTCAAACCTGATTGGAAAATAATCTAAAGGGACAATGAAAATCTAAAGGTGACAAATATATAAAAAATGGATGGCTCGCTTGGATAGTGGAGATAATGATCTGCAAAGGAAGTCAAGGGGATTTAATAAACATACTTACAATAATCAACAACTTCTTACAACACACAAACTCATCTATTCTGGTTATGTTCTGGTCTTCTTCTATGTAAAAATGAATTGAATATATGTTGGTAAGCGCATAATTCAACATGGCCTGGACCAATTTGGAATTAACAATAATTCGATTTTTTTCTTATAAGTAAAATTATAATTATAGATTATAAGTAAAATTATAATAAGGCCATAAAAAATATAAGTAGACCTGTAAAACTAATCTGTAAAAATGTAAAGAATAAATTTTTAAATTCATAATGCGTAATATAAAAGATTGAATTAATTTAAAATAAATTTATATATAATAAATATTTTCCTTTTCAATTGATTATTAATATATGTAATCGAAAGGGTTTTCTTAGCTAAAAAATCGAGGAAGATTTTCTCATACTTCACTACATCTATCTAAGTATTAATTATGAGATTTAAAATATTCACTTGTAATTACTCTTATCTTAGCAGATAAGTAAACAAATTATTTATAAATTTAATCTTTACTTTAATCTTTTTAATTTATAAAACTATTAATTTATAAAATCCTCTACGTAATCTTAATTATTTAGAAGAAAATTTCTAACTTAAGATTATAAATTTAAATTTTTTAAAGATTTTGCTACTCATTGCGATTTGCTACTCATTGCAAACTACAGATATCTGTAACTTAGAATGCAAAATCAGAAACACGACTGTAGATATAAATGTGATTATACGCATTGCAAATACTAAGAGTTTTTTATTCACTTTCTGTATGATTGCATCTCTCACTATTCAAGTTCAAATCTGCTTATATGTAGCGCAACTAAGCGCATACAATATAAATTTGCTAGGTTTATAAAGAACAATCATTGGCTGCAATATAAATTCGTTTCCAGGGATATGTAGAGGCTATGGGGATAAGTCCCACTCACAAGAAACAATATTTTATGATTACAACTAGCAACATTTTTATTGCTGCATCGCGACAAACTGCAAAGTCATATTAATGTTACTGAACTTTAGATTTGGAATTGTGTAAGTATGAGTATATTTTATTTCTATTCACAGGCAAGCAATTGTCAGACGTATAACTTTAACTATGAAACTGCAATGTCTGGAGTTTTTATTGTAATAAGCATGGACTTGTGTATCCGCATTGCAGCCCGCACTGTGACAAAAATGTCCTTGTGCGTATTATGCATGATTCAGATACGTATATGAGTATTATAGAAAAATATCTTTAGCTATTTTATCTATTTTTACTTTTATTTGTCTCTAAAAATATATTTGCAATTTAATTGTATATTTATAATTTAACTGCTCAACCAAAATTTCATTTTAATTTTAATGTATTTTCTTTCCATTTTTATACTTTCTAACAATATGCGTTAAGGGCCAAATTATTTGAGTTGAAATCAATTTAAGTCAGTCTAAGGTAAACAAAAACGAAATCTTTTGAGTAATGACATTTAAACTTAATTTATTCATTTCTATATACTAACACTTTAGAAATGTAAGTCGTTGATCTTTCGGCGTCATATATAAGAAACTAATTAAAAGAGTTATGCCGACTGTCAAAGATATTAATTTTAATGAAATTGATTAAATACTCGTATTTAAGAATCGAAAAGTAATAATAAATTAATTAATAATAAAGTAAGTAACAATTAGTTTGCATTATTATTGAAAACCTCCACCACCCGTCTCATGAGAATTGAGAAAAATTTCTCCCAGCCGCTACGATTCTGTATGTGTTGATTGTAGCTAAAGAAATAGGCACAATGACAAAGACGCTATGAACCATACAACGATAATACGTTTAGATATTTAATTCGGTAACTGTTGATAAAAACTACATTAAAGAACATCTAAACGTTTAAAGGAAGGATATGGACCACGTTTTACTCGATAGTATGAGCTGGTGCTATGAATACGCAGTTGTTTTATGTGGTTACCCGCAATGTGGATTTAACACCACTATATTCAAATGTTAACAGCGTTCAAATATATGAAAATAATGTGCACTACATTGTAAAGAATTTGCCGGTACCAATTAAAATTATCTTCATCGAAATATTTGCAGTTCCTTTGATCACAGCAACCAGTTAAAAAATATAACTCCAATTTAAATAAAAGCATATATGTTAACACTATTCTTGTATAGCAGACATCACGACGTTTTCTTAAGAAGCCAGCTGAGTGTCCTGTGGAGGTATCACATCACAAGTGGTATCACAAGTAAAGACCTACTTGTTAGCAATTATACTCTTTAAGAGTGCAGGATGGTGTGGTATGGATTTCAACCACGTTTTACTTTATGCCTTACTTCAACAAGAATTGTGTAAATATTAAGTTGTGTAAAGAAGTGCTTTCAATATATATAAACCGTAAGTATCAACATTTTAATTTTTTTTTTGAACAAAACTAAACTGGATTTGAATTCCTTATATGTATATTAATACAGCTGCTCAATATTGACATCCAAATTTATTCCCAGAAATGCGTAATCCTTACCTTATTTCAGCTTAAGCTTAACACAAAGTTTTAAAACTATTTTATTTCGATATTGTTCAACTCATATCCTAAACTTTCACTGCTCACT